CAAGGAGGGCTCTACACCCCTGTGCCAAGGAGGGCTCTACACACGGATGCTGCGTGCACAGCCCTGTGGCAGGCCAAATGTCCGCCTCTCATCACACACCCGTTAATTATTTCTTAAAATGCTGCCTTTCAAGAGTCACTGTTTTTACAAGAATATCCTCCATTGAGTGACCTTTTTTTTCTCCTCTCGTTAGAGTTATTTCTCCTTATCATGCTAATGCATCAGTTTGGTTTGAAACTGAACCACCGTACAATAAATTATATGTAACACTGGTTTTAAAAGCTCTGTCTTTGTATATGCACTCAAAGCACTACAAGGCTCCAAACAGTAGGAATACTTACACAAGGAACATTTTGCATTATTCATCTCATAGCATGTAACTGATCCCAGTACTGCCAAAGCCGTAAATCACATTTACAGTCACAGTAAAGCAATGTAATATTAMGCATGCCTTACCCCAAAATAAACGTTGGTAATGAGAATACTAACATTTCAAATTATACAATTTCACTTTTTTAAATCATCCATAGTAACAAAGTTAAATAAACACATCACTGATGCAATTGGCAATATAAAATTAGGGTTTTCCTGGACTCTTAATTGCAGAAAGTTACAGATAACCAACAATTTCAGCAACCATTCAATGGGCATGAGAAGAATCTGCAGCCCTGGGGATGCCTAAATCACTTTGATCTAGTCATTCAAATACCTCAGCAGCTTTGTGCCTTATGGATTCACAATCTATCAAGATCTTCTATTCTGAATTAGAGGTGCCAAATGCAAATGCATCGTTAGTTTTACATTACAAAGTGATTAACGAGATCTGGAACGGAAAGGAACAATTTTCCTGGTGAGTATCTGCTAGATATGAAGTCACATCTTCTGTCCTAAGTCTTTTTTTCTTCTTTTGTCCTCTGCAAAAGTACGTTATGTCCATATATTATATGCATAGCTATCTATATATTTTCAAGCATTRTATGGGTAGAAAATAAGACATTTAGATTTCTTTTCTAGCACTCACTGCATATTCCAGCCCGCTGTGCACACAGCCCTCACATTCTGAATCCTCTGACAGCACCAGGACGTCAGGATGCCTGACAACAGAAACTGATGTTTGGGGAAAGAGGCTGCATCTCGGAAAACTAACAATCCCCAGAAGCGAGAAGTGCTGAGTCCAGGAAAATCCTGTCATCTCCAAGCAATATTACATCACCAAGGCAACCCAACGAGRAGCGATTTCCACGTAAGCCATTACTTACTTTAAGACCTCAGTGTAGCCCTTGGCAGCAGCCACGTGCAGCGCGGTGCCGCCGGATTTCGCGTGCCTGACATCGTTTATGTGGCCGCTGTTGAGCCACTGCCTTGCGTCTCGGAGCATGATCCGCTCCTCTTCTTTGCGAGCTGCCTCGATATCAACTCCTGCATCAGGTGGGCAGCGGGGGAGAGAGCAGAGAAAACGCTTTATTTTAAGCCCTTGCAGTTATGTAACGATCTTGTACTGCTCGCTGCAGCGAGGCATAAAAATAACAGTGAAACAGTGTGATTAATATTCCCACAAAGACAGGAGGCTCCTTTTGAGAAGGAACCCCGGGAGGTTATGGGAGCAGCCACTGTAGCATCAGTAAGACTGCAGCACTCGCAGTGTGTCATAATTTCTTCCCAACAGAACAAAAGAAGAAAGGTATTAAACTGGCTCTCCAATACTAAGAATTTCTACTGTAATGATATTAATGAGGTATCCTGAGAGAAAAAAAATAATTTTTTTACAGCTTATCAGCCTTAAACCCCTTTATTAAGTGCCAAAACACCGATCTCATCAGTATGTAGTTACAAAAAAAATATAGAAAACAGTTACAATACTCTCCGATGCACGGTAATTCCTTAAAATATTCGACATTTTGTAGAAACGCCCTTTCCACGGGAAGACGAGCAGCCCAGCTCCCGAACACTGCCAGTACTTGCAGCAGGACAACACTACATGTTTTGTATTTTCTATAGAAATTCAGTTCTAGAAAAGCTTGCTCTCTGTCACTGAGACCTCTTCCCTGAGCAGCCACATCACAACAGCTCGGAAAAGCCCAGCCATTGTCATGCAGCAGATCTCACTAAAAATGATCACACACGGAGGAACAGGGAGAAACCCAACATAACATTTACAAGTTGACAAAGGAGCTTGAACAGCGGGGGGAAATCCAAGGAACAAATCCCAGGCAAAGCCAAACGAAGAAGGAGCAGCGCAGGCAATAGGGAGCACTTCCAGAGTCGCTGCTGCAAGGAGAGGCCGGGTGAATGCAGCAAGAGAAGGGTCTTCAAGGGTATGGGGCAGGTTCCGCTCTGGCTGTGCTGCCCCTCCTGCTCTCAAAACTGCATCCACCTTCTGGCAGCATCTCCTGCTGGATCTGCCTCTGTCCCCAGACTGTTCTCCGCTGGCCAACGTGTGGCACCACCCAGCTCTCCGACCTGGGTAACTAAATCAAAGTCCAGCAAAAGAAAGTGGAGTACAAAAACAGTAAGGTATCACTTTTCAACCCTACTCCATCTAACTCATTTTAATTTCACTCTGAGTCTTGATCAAGAAAGTAATTTCAGGCTCTCACATCCTTAAAGATGGCAGTGCATCCCTCCTTCTCGCTGTAAATGAATCTGCAGAACGTGGGAGCCAAATAAAATTGTTGCCCATTTAGACATGCAGCAGAAAGTGCAGTAAGGGATAATGACGACCTTCATTTTAGAAAATATTAATAATAGGAAAGGAAAATACGTAGCTATTACATAGATCACATGAGATGCAATGCATTACATCTGCTATATAACACATGATAACACGGATTATAAGAGATGAGACTCATGAAGTTGTATCAATCCTCCTACAACTAGGACATCAGATGGAAAGCCCTGTGTGAACAGGCTGTCCAACTGAAAGCAAATCCTGGCTCTGCTCCAATGCCCCCAAGGCAAGGGACAGCAGGCAGACTGCTAGTAAGTTCRCACAAATTCGTATTTTCTCGACTTTTTTTGGGCAGAAGCATAATAAAATACTTCCACTGAGAATTCCTATGATTAAATTAGGGAATTCTTGCTATTGCTATGATGAAAGCTGCCGTTCCCATATAGAAAGAAGGAAAGAAAGGGAAAGAAAGAAAATGATAGGTCCAAATCAGAATTTCACTGAAATACAGACAGAATATATGTAATGATTCCATGTTTTGGCATATTTACCTTGTGGTTTGTATGTTTTTTGGTAGCATGTGACGAGATACCCTCCCTTTCCATCAAATGCCTGGGCTACTGAGATGAAGCTGTAATGCCAATTTCTATCCTCCTGTATACGAGCACAAAGAGGCCTAACTTCTCTCCAAAGCAAATTAAGAAGAGATCCTCACACAGCAAATACTGTTTTTTTAAAAAACACTTGAAACACTTAAAAATGCAGTTTATTTATGAAACAATGTTAAAACATTTTAATATACCTGCAACATCAYAATTGAAGCTTTTATTTTCACTCCAATTAGCTGCAAGCTTCATAAATTACAATGAAAAAGCCAGCAAGAGAGCTCAYGTCTTGTTTTTTTTCTTTGCTGCAGTCAAGTTACAAAGTATGGGATATTTCCATAGCTACCTTAGAAAGGATTTAACCACAAGCAACACAAGGAAACATCAACTGGAAAAAAAAATACCCTGTGCAAATAAATAGCCCTAGTAAAATTTTATATTAAGGTCACGTTTATAACTACCTCTTGAAGAGATATAGTATTAGTCACCATTATAAAAGCACTACAGATAATATGTGGTACAGATAATATTTCAAGGAGTTTATTTAACTCCTAAACTGCACAATCATCTTACTTGTTGCAATTTATTTAGTAAAACTGATGAAGCTTTATCAGACATGGATGAAAACTTACTGATCTAGAGGCTAAGTCTGCAAGACGCAGGTGGCACAAGACATTGTTGCAGCACTAAGCAGAGCCTCAGAAGAYGCTACAAGGTCATTTTTGGAAGGAAACTGAGGTGGAAAGTGAATAGATGGCAGCTTCTGTAACCATCCTTCTCTCAAGACAGCCATGACCCCAAATGTGAGCACAGACCAAGTTTTACACATTGAGTAGACTCTACAGCTCAGATCAAGAATGAGCACCAGAAACACTAAATCACAATGTATTTATGCTCACAGATGGTCATTCCTCCAGAAGACATCTTAAATATTGTGTAGGTGAAGTTACATATTATAAAGTCTTCAGGCTTAGGAATTGGATTTTCTTTTCCCTAACTCAACAGCAGCAGAGCCCGTGTCAGCACCGCAGACTCACTCGCCTCTCAGGAACTGCCCACAGCAACGAGCACTGAGAGGGTCTTGGGGAGGAGATCCTTCTTTTGGGTGAGTTATCCTGCCTGGAAAAACCACCCGCATTTCCCTGCTGCTGGCAAAAATGCCAATGGGCAAACACAAGAGTTTGCCTCCCGTGTGAGCCGCGCTGTGGCCTGGCCCCCTTGGGCAGGCCGGTACTCACTTCCAACCCAAAACACGGACCAGCAGGAGGAAGGCAGCTCTGAAATCGCTCCAGGGAAGGAGCAGGTTCCCGATGCCCAAGCAAGCGGCAATGCCGCAGATGCCCAAGGGCTGCATGGCTCCAGAGGTGTTTTTGCAGCGGGACAAGACAGGGGCTTCTCACCTTGTCTCTGTGGATGACCTGAAGGACAGGCTATGATTGAGGGAAAGACACAGCAATGGAACTGAAACATCTCTCGCTAAAAACTGCCACCAAACTGGGAAATGAACTTTGTGCCACAGAAAGAAGAGAGATCCCCARAGATATGCCCAATAAAACTGACCACTATTTAATACAGAAATTAGAAGGCAAGCAGCCCTTACTATGCCTTGGATGAGCTTTCCTCCTTGCTTTGGTTTTCAACAGTACCTCAAGGTAGCAGGAAGAAGGACAGTGCTCTGCTCCACGCCAGCACTTTCAGCCCACGGCCCGTAGATGGCAATGTGCTGCCTCGCAGCTCCGCTCCGTTTGCAGCGCTCCCTTGCAACGGCAGCAAACCTCACTCCAACAGGCCTCCACCTCTTCAATCTTTGGTAATTTATTGCTAAATGCCTTCGTTTTTTTTTTAAACCAACAAGTATTAGTCAACGTWTCTAGGCAGGTTCAAGAACGAGATGCTGTTCCACGAACATTTAATGAAATTCAGCGCGGCCTTCTGTGCCGGGGCCCGTCTCAGCCCTCCCCAGCCATATAAAGGCATGTTTTACAGATACTGCATGCGAGAGCAACCCACTTTTTACTTCATGTAGCGAACTGTTTATATACAAATGTAATAGTTTGCATTTTAGCCACATAAACACAGCTGAGCTAAGCAATACATCCAAGATACTCTCATTACATTTACCTATAATTAAGAATGAGGAGCACTTGCTCACGCTTGAAAAACGAGCAGCGACCTCCGTCGCGCACAGGGCGCAGGCTCACCCACCAACTCACCTCCCGGGAACGCTCGCTAACATTCAACATAACTACTTGAGCGGTTAAAAATAAGTTGAGAGGGCACGTGCTGACCAACAGCCTTCCGTCCCCAAAGGCGGCTGGCAGCCCCAGTCCCCACACGCGGCACAYGGGTCGGACAGGAAACTGCAGCAGTCACACTGAAATCAGGGGAGGAAGGGTTAAGGAATTCCCTGTTATTCTATGGAATCTATTTATCCGGCATTGGACCAGGATAAAGATATCAACCATATGGGAAAACAACTGCAYAGGTAATAAAATAGCCTTGTTTTTCATAGCCTTGTTTTTCTTTTTTTTTTAAATATATATAGCACATAAAATAGCCAAAACACATCATGCAAAGAAGATCCTTCTTCTGCACTAAACTGGTATTATTTCTGTAACTCACCTAGTTCTGTTACTTGTGAAGCAATTAGAACTGTCATGAAATCTTTAGACCCCACCATGGTGTGTAGATAGTTTATCCCTTCATGAAGCATTAAACTATGTTTTAATCCTCAAAAAAATATTAAACCAATATCCTTACACTCCAGAAATTATTTAGGTTTATTTATAGTCCGTACCCCAACACTATCAAAATACGAGAACAGAGAATGTACACTGAATGCTTCAAGAAAATTTATCAAAACTCATTACTTAATTTTCATCTCCCTGTGAAGTTTAGGGTAGGAAAGTGCTTCCCCTGCTTCTGGAGCTCTGTGGCTTCATCTGTAGGATGGCCAGTCCCCTAGCCCAGAACTATTACAAAATGCAGTGAATTAAGGCAGCCCTGTTATATCCTATTACATGCTCAGCAGAATACCAAGTGGCCTTGTGTGCTCATCTGCAGAGCACACGGGTACAGAACAAGCCCGACCCAAGGGTCACTATTTAGAGATATCACATAAGAAGAACAGAATAACTAAAGAAATGAAGATTTGGGGGTAATGAGAATACAAAAGGTCCATTCTTTCACGTCCAACGCTGCTTACAGCAGGAGTTGTGTAACAAGAAGATTAAATTTGGATCACTGACTGTCTCCTCTCCATACCGCGGGAAGTTCAGGCTCCGCACTCTGCTTGCTAGAACGGAACGAGCAGTTCAGACCCCGCTTTGTGTTAAGTCTACAGCATCATGGAGAGCTGGATCAGGTGCCATGCTATAATTTATTTCTGGGAATTTAGCATCTCCAAACACTGTAGTTTCTCGTATCTTTAGGAATATATTTCAATACTTTCAAAACAAACCGATGATCTGTAGAGGCAGAATAATTGCACAGGTGGAAGACTCTGAACTTCTTGCACAGAACTGAAGGTCTGCAAAGCAGCATACAGATTAAGCTAACATGGAAGCTTCCCTCAGACTTCTAACAGAACCAAACACCAAAGCTCGGCAGTTTGACTGATCCTGCTGCAGCAAATTTACACTGAAGAAGTACCTGGTAAGAGGAAARAAAATCCAAAATAAAGCATTTGAAAGGGAAGCCTGAATGGAAAGAAAGAAGCCAGGAGAGAAGGAASGAAGGGAAAAGACTGCGATGACACAGCAGAGATTAAAGAGCACAAGGATTTTTTAAAGAGACATAAAATGTTCTTCCAAAACTATTGCCTCAGAAAAGAAGATACTGTAATTGCTACTGAGATGTTATGTGTGGAAGGAAAATACTTTGTAATTGCAGATAAGCAAAATAACTCACTTAACTGACAAAGCAGTTTCTCAGGAGGCCCACATAGCAAAAATGGTTGGGAAGCCTTTGTCTATCTTTTGCTGGAACATCTCAAAAAATAATAATAATTCCATTGTCACTTCAAAATTCAGTCTTAGAAATGGAGGAAAAATTCGACATGAAGGCACTGTATGGTCCTCACACAGTTTCTGATGAACACCCTTCTGTTGTACAACCATATATATTTACTTTTAAAGTTTTACATACTCAAAAAACACTTTTACATTAAATTCACTTTTTTAATAGCGTGGCATTCAAATCAGCTGGAACTACAATGAACCAAACTGATCTTTCCAATTTTCCAACAAGCCACCAAAACAACTCTGAGTGCTGGTGCCAGCAGGCAGGAAACCACATTCATAACGCTAGCAAAGCAACACTAAACCCCRAATTGCGACGGGCGCAGGATTAAATACCCAAGAGACGAAAGGCCAGCAGGTTACAGAAAACGTCTCCCGAGCTTCCCCGCGGCACCTTTTACCCTGCAGTGGCGGGATTCTTCTGGCTTCCCAAATGCTGCTGCCCCGAGGTCAGTGAGCGGCCCTTCCCCGCCGGGGAGGCCTCACGAAGCCCCGCGGACGCCCCCACAGCTCCAGACCCCGGGGCTATGGCCCGGGCTCCTGCCCTACYGTGGTGCTCGGCCTGGAAGGGTCGCGGCGCCGGGACAGGCACAGCCAGAGGTGACACTGCTCCAGGGCACTAATTCCACAGGCACACAGACAACTAGGTCCCTGTTTCAAAGCTGTGAGCTCCTCTGGTCACAATGGGCACACAGCGGGACACTTCTCTGGTGGTCACGATGAGGATATGATCATTATGTCTATTATACCTGTGTATACTACCCGTGTATAGTGCCTGTGTATAACCTGGAAGTGAGGGATGCCATCCAAGTCCTTGTCTAAAACTTCGTGCCAAGTSCCCTATGGCGGGATTTAACTCCCCATTTTTCAGTACAACCCCCTGTACTTTAAGAGGAACCCGCTACGACCCCTCGCCCGGGAAGCTCCTCGAGAGCGCCCCGCAGCAGCTGCAGGGCACACGGGGCGGACACAGAAGGCCCAAGGCCACAGACTGTAAGGGTCAACTGTGCACTTGAGCTCAACGACCTAACAGACTGCATTTCTGTACACTCATTAAAAAAATAAACTTTATTTAAAACCCCAGCTTTTCCTTTTTATCAAGGCAAGTTAAATGATGCAAGAATTGCCTCAGTTCTTACTGCTGCTTACATTAAAATTGCTTCTTTTTCACCAACGCCCTGATCCCTCTTCCTAAGTGTCCCAGGAGAGTCTGCTGTGTCCTCCACACCTCCACCTCCCCAGGACCTAAGTCTAGCAATTGCACATCACCATCAAGGGGTGATATTTTAAACACAACGTTAAYATCACATTTCTTGTGAGGATTCTGCTGCTCCTGCCGATACCTCGGCCGGGGGGAGGAAGAAGGGAAGGCAGGGTGAAAGGAGACCGGGATCCATGGACACGCAGAGGTCCCAGTCGGATYTGCTCGGGTTGGACATCGCCTACGGGCTATTGCCTATCCCCACTACTTGAGGGAGGGAGTCCCGACAGGCTCATATCCAGGCTATCCCCTTCTCATCCACAGCTGTCACATTTCTCCTACGATTTCATCCCTGCAAGCTGCAAAACCAGCTCCGGATACATCTGACCACAACGGACCGAGATCCTTCCTAGTCCTGTAACAGGTCTCTGTGCCCAAGCAACGTTTTTTCACCTTACCTGGCCCTTAGCTCAAGTAGTTTTTCCTTTTTCACACCACCTTTGAAAGACCTGTCATCCACAAATCCTTCATGGCACCAGCAAGCCCGCTGACACACACAGGCAGCAGGAACTCTGAAACTAGCTTGCCTGCAGCAACATCAGCTTAATACTTCAAAATAAGCCGAATGATCCCTTGGAAAGCTAACAGCTGCAGTATGGGAACTCTTAACACTCTTCTCGGATCTATCAGACTGTCAGAGGAAGTTCGCTGTAATCCTTCAACACAAAATATGTAAACTACACTGAAACTTCCAAGAACAGTGACATTTAGTTTAGGTTGTCAATGTTCATTTTACACTTGGGCCGTACAAAATAACTATGAGTTGCAAAATAAATAAAATTTATAAATTTATAATTTATAAAACAAATCCCATAACAAATCCCACCATTTTTAATAGTATGTAAGAAAGCAACTCTGCAAGAGAGTTATTTTTCCAAGTGATGTGGATTTTGCAAAGAACTCCAACGTCAGTCAGCACAGCTTGTCAGTAAAGTGAAGTGCATCAAAAACAACTTAAAGATTCTAGGCTAAATTTCTGGGGCATTCCAAGAATAACTCTTCAAAGACTGATAGTATGGTTAGAAGTAATAATAATTATAGGAGAAAAATAATAAAAGTAGCAGTAGCATGGACAAAAAGAAAGCTTGGTGGTCTTTGTGTGTTAACCTTAATGGCTGTTCATCAGAATTCATTTAATAGTATCAAATATTTGAATCAAAGTTATTCTCAAATCTATAATCTCCTTCTATACATTAGTATCTAGCTTTTACTCATCTGTGTGYCATGTCATCCACTTTCTTTTCAACATACGGGTTGAGCATTAAGCAGGTTTAACCATTTAAATTTAATCAAGGAAAAGCCGAAGTTATTAACAATTTACCATTAAAAAACATAAATCCATCGTAGACACATAAAAATACTGAAAAAAATATGTAACATTTCCAAGGAGGAAAGAAGCCTTTTAGGGGGGGAGGGAGGCAAGGGGCCAAATTTAAAAAGTAATGGAGATGCAGTCCCCTAAACCTTGGCCCCTAAAAGTCTGTTCTCCATCTTTGCTGCAAATGTCACTGCCTTCCTCAAACCTCCTTGTTTTGGGAGTTTTGGCATAACAGCATTCATTTYCAACCTGAAATGAGGAGCCAGCAACTACTGATATTCTCTCCTCTGTGGAATGCATAAGGTCAGAAACTGGAAAACCCACTTGAGCAGTGGAACRTGGAAAAGAGCAGTGTAGGGGGAGAAAAAAAATGCCGGGAAAATGAGTCAAGAAGCTTTTTCAAAGGGTAACCAAGAGGTTACCACTACTTACACTGTCCTAGCAACTTTCTTTGGGTCAAGCGTGTATATCTTTGGTATACTTTGTTAAGAGATACTATCAAAACTTACTACTTCTCTAGTAATTGGTGTATGAATGCTCCCCCATAGGCGCTCTCTTAGGAGAGTACACAAATTACTGTGAGGAACTTGGAAGGTCTGTGACTCTCAGATTGAAACCAAGTGCAATTTAAGACTCTGTATCTCAAGCCCCTCCTGACATTTGGCACTGCAGAGGGCACTCAAAAGGCCAAAAATAGACACAGAGTGGGATTTAGGTGACATAGCACAGAAAGTGTGATTTAGGTTGCACAGAGTAGTTGCTTACTCCTGTTTTAATCATTCTAGGCCCTCTTGTAGTTGATGGAAAGTAACAGGCTTAAAGGCTTATCACCTAAAACTGATACCTCAGTCACCTTAGAAGTCCCTATTTGGAATACTGGAATTCTGGGACACTTTACTTCCATACAGATGCCTAGTTTTAAATTTCTACATCACGGATGCACTGAGTACTATCCATAGYATTTGAATACCACCTAAGTTCCGACATGTTCAAGGTACGCAGGAATACCAACATACGGGTTCAATACTTCCAAACATGGCATTTAACAAACAAAACCAGCCCTCTGTATTCAAAATTACCTTGTCTATTTACTTCATTTTGTAGCAGCTCTTCCATTGCCTCTTCTTCAGCAATATCTAATGGAGTGTCTCCTTCACTATTTACAGCTCCTACATGTGCTCCTTGACTAATTAAATACCTGTATATAGAAAAAGAGAAACAAAGTGTTTTTCATAGTGGTAGAGCAAAAGAGAAGGTGAGCTAAAAAAGAGTAAATTTGATTTTATTTGCAATAAAAACAGTAACTGCTAGTAAAAACATTATGCAAGCATRGATGTCATGTGCAATGGATGCTTGCACATACATGGAAAATTACTAAACCCCACTCCTTTATAGTTCTAAGTAAAAAATCCCTCACTGTTTTCTACAACCCAGGAACACCCACGTCTTTTAAGCCTAAGAACACCTTTCCCACTCTCGAGTTTGTCACAGAGATTTACAACATATTTAAATATATGTGTTTGCAAGAACTGAAAGAAGAAAATGAGTGAGAAAATATTGGACAAAACTGAACACAGCAGCATTCAGGCCAAAACACTGATTCCTGTAAGCTTCTCATTATCTTATTGAGAGTCTCCCTGGAGCTTCCAGAGTCAGTGACACATCATCTTTCCATATGTCAAGTCTCATGGAGTCAGTAAAACGAAAATCACCTCTGCTCATAACTATTTAGGATTCTTTGACAAAAAAGCAAAGCTGTGGAGAAAAACATGGCAACATTATGAGCAGCAGAACAAGTTTATCAGGGTCCAAAACACAGTGGATGGAAGATAGCAATCTCAGGTCATCCCCGTATTCCCGCTGCATTTCAGCTGCTGAGAGACTGCAACATGAGTAWGAGGTTCATAAAAGTGTCCCATTCACCCAAAAGAACCCTGTGGATGAGGAAAAGAAGCATCTTATTATTTCTACGYCCTAGAAAAAAAAGTAATTCCCTTCCTTCTTGTTTCCAGGCCCTGTTTCAGCTCCTCCTTTCACATCACTATGTGTAAGGTCAGTTTTAGTGGTGTGCAGGAGGAGGGGAAAAAGAAGCCGGTACTCTATAGGATATCCAAACCGTCTGTGTCTAAGTGTTTTGTTGTTCAAAGTACTGCTATCTCAGAAGTCAACAATTCAGACTGAGTGGAATTTATTTCTTAATTTCAGATTAAGTCTAATGGATGRTTTCCAACAAATAAGTCATGAAAGAATTATTTCATGTATTAAACCAGGAGCCTACAAAGTTACTAAGCTCCTACAGATTATTATATCGTCTGCTTCTGAGTAGCTAAAGAACAATAACTGAAATTCAGATCAGTTTTACATTCTCTGCTCAAAACATTTCTATTTCTCTAACAAATTCAAGGCTTCATCTATTTATAGGAACSAGATTGCACAGCCAGGGACTCATTACAGCACAAAATTATAAACGCACCTCCTGTCTTGCAGAGTTTACAATTTACACCTTCCACAAACTTGGGAAAAATATGAGGGAAAATACTCAAACCTGAAGAAGCAGCTATGCATTCGGTAGCAGGTGCATGAAAAATGAATGAAACATTCAGAAGTCAGCTAGAAAATTAACTTAGTATTAACACAAATATTTTATTTGACTATTGCCAGTTAACAGAGAGATTCCAGATTTAGAATCAGTTTTTCCTCATCTTTATTAAGTACCTGCGTACCACAAGTATCTCCTTTTTTTTTCTTTTTGTTTAAAACGTTTTTTTTTTATACATGTACGTTTTAAACAGCACCTGATGTTAAGCCTTTGGAATTAGATCAAGAAGAGGTAAGGGCTGACAGATCACAAAATGGAAACGCATTCCCAGAAGTGTAACTGTATCTCCGGGGCCGCGCACCACCAGTTGCTGCCCCTCGCTTTGATGCTGCGCGCTGCCCTTCTGCCCTTTCCTCTTAAACGGGGCAGAGCTTCGGCTCTTGTCTCTCTTGAGATTAAAGAAACAACTTCTGCAGGAATTAATTATTAATTCAAAGTAACTTTAACTTAATTTCAATTTCTCAACAACACTAGTTCTACTGTTTTAACAATTTCATAGCATTTTGGGTAACAATTTCATAGCATTTTGGGTAAAAGCTACACTGAGTGCAGGCAAGAACAAGTGAGATAAATATGTACATTAAAATAAGGAAAAATGAAGAGAGAATGTAGCAAATAATAAAATCTTCCATTTAAGACTTTGGACTCAATATCAAGTTTATCACTGACAAAAAACATCTTTTAAAATACTCCAAATCTCTGTTCAAACACTTTTCAACTAGCTTTGTCCAATGAAAAAAACTGATATTTGAAAACGGAATTGATTTTTACCTGTTTCTATCTAACACCTAGAAGGAAGAATGAAAGCTACTCATGTAASGAAAACACACATCACCCTGAAGCAGCTGCATTTTGTTCAATCAGGTCAATGTGTTCTGGAAAAGATAAAAGGAGCAAGGCATGGAAAGAGCAGGGAATGAACCTAGGAAGACACATCAGAGAACCGTTCTTTAGGCCTATGCCAAACTTGATGAWCCTCCAAAGCAGAAGGTGAAAGCAGCAGCTGCCGCTTACGGCCCCAAATCAGATCAACAGAGCTCGGGGGGCGCTTAGCGGGACGGGAGCAGGATCCGAATCCTTCTCTGCGGATGCTCACAGGATTTTGCTTTTGCTGCACCAAAGGAAGAAATGTGCAATGAAAAGATGCATCTGGGCCCTGTCCTGAGTTCACAAGATGTAAAGGGATGGGAGAGGSAGGGGAAAGGATGGAGAGCAGCATCCTTCCCTGGGAAGCGCAAGTGTCTTGAGGTAAGGGCTCCTTCCCTCCGGCCTCTTSGCCCAGGCCGCTCCCAGCTCCTAGCCGACTGCCTCGAACAATTACTAATGCAACAGAGACACTCGGAGCTCTTCTCTGGCTTAAGCAAATTACTCAAAATCCAGCTGTTTTAAAGATAGTCATTTAAACTTGGTAAGGAAAGCAATGCTCTCAGGAGAGAAGGCCGCCTGGGCACGGATCATCACTGGCAGAAAGGGGACAACTGTGGGGACCGGGAGGACAGGACAGCTCCACACCAGCACCACCACCAGCCCAAGTGCCAGAAGGTCTTGTCCTTTTTTAAATGTTCTTTATTTTTTTTAATTAATATTAAATCATTTTCCAATTGCACTCCAAAGTAAATATTACTTGAAACCAACAGTATGATGTCAAATATAGGCATAGATGACACTTCAGTTATTCTGGCAGCGTACGCTAACATCTTCACATGCAAGAGCTCATTATTTTGTGTATTTGCATATGTATGCATGCACATGGACAAAAAAAGAATGGCCCAAAACAAACCAAACAAAAAAACCTCCAAAAGCAAATAATTGCCCTTTCATCTTTATTAAGCAGCTATTATTTCCATCTTGAAATTTTATCTCTTTAAGGAAATATCTTTTTTTTTCTTTRCATTCAAAATATAAACAGGCAAGAAGGAAACAGCAGCCTCTTCATCCATTCCACGTTTATTTATGGAGCTAGAACTTGCAAGTATTGATATGCAAGCTAAAAGCACCTAAGTTGCTCTTGTCAGCATAAAGAATTGCAAGTACCCTGGGATTACCTGGAAAGGCAAGAGCTGGAAAATGAACTTGTTCCCAAGACTTCTGCCTCGGCATCCCATGACACGTATATACAGGTGCAGGTAAGACTGGAAGAACGAGTTTGCTTCTGTTTGAAACCGTGTGTTTTAGGAATCCCTGCAGTATATCCCTCAGTAGCCACTAAAGTGTAAACTGAAATGAGCAATCTTGGGAAGAAATAAAAAAAAAGGGGGGGAACGTTTTGTTTAAATAATTATTACATAACAGAGATTCTCTCCCAGTGCTTTATAGAAAACGAATTTCAACAGCTTTCATACAGAGCTGGAATCTCAGTAGCTTCGAGACGATCAAGACTAAGCCTCTGAGATCACTATATCTGCACAAAGCTCACGCTAAATCCAAGCGCTGGAGCTGGAAGTCAAAAATCTTGCCCAAGAGCTTTGCTTCCACTTGCAATTAAAAACACAGTAACCTACAGGTGACAAAATTATTGCATAATTCCATTTATKAACAAGATACCCATGGAGAGAGTAAACTGCGGAGGACCCCTCCGTTGGCAGCGGGGCTACGTGCAGCCCTGCGGGCAGCAGCTCGCGGAGGCCTGGGCGCCCCTGCGGTGGCGGCGCTGTGGGAGCCCCCGAGGGCGGCACAGGAGACAGGCCGCGTGTCCACGCTCCAAGCGTGCCCCAGTTCCCGGTGTCGTACSCCAGTTCCCAGTGTCGGGAGGCGACTTTGCCAGCTCGACAGGGCTATAATTCACAGGGATGTGGGCCCGTGAGCGCTGGCTGCACCTGGGAGTCACTGCGCACGGCAGCCRCTGGGGCTCGGCTCAGGAGGCATCGCTGCCCGCGCTCCGGGCGAGAGCTCCCTCGGGAAAGGAAGAGCCTTCCCAGGGAAAACAGAGAGGGCAACATTCTAAATGTGCAGAGTAGTAACCAGTATTCTCAGCCTGGCAGTTCTGAAACCATTCCCGTTTTCCAGGGGAGGCAGATTTCCGTTTTCCCTCCGCACGGCCCCGGCATGGGGGCCTCCCCCGGGCGGCAGCGTGGAGCCGAGGGCACCGAGCGAGCTGCTCTGCACCATCAATCCCGCGGCGGGGAAACCTGCCCCGTGGCTCGCGCGGCAGCTAAGCAAACTTGAAATGTTAGTTCTCTTGTGAATGTACAACCTCAGCTGTCTTCCCTGCCTTTTAGAATCACAGAACTGCATCGCTGATTCCACCGTGGAATCTCGGGACCCTTCCGAATGTGCATCTTCGTGAATCCTTCCAGTCACTAATATGCAAACATCAAGATGAGTTTGGTCCCAACTATTAAGTTTTCAAGCACCATTCTAAAAATTATGATTAAAATTTTAATGCTGCTCATTCAAATTTTCTTCACTTTTAGGCAAAAGCACGCTAAAACTGTAACACCTCATCTAGGGGATACTATCCAGCAGCCTGACTGGGAAGAGAATTTCTGTTTCTTTGATAGTCCCTACAGAAGCGGGTCAATGAGTCACATTAAACTCTCACGGGAACATCACCATGCCCTCAGCCTGGAACACAAATGTCCTTCTAAAAGTTGTGAGTC